GTGAGGTGGGGCCGAGGTGCCTAGGGGCCGCGGGGCCAAACAGGGGGCCGGGGGGCCTAGGGGGGGCCGAGGGGCCAAACCAGGGGCCGCAGGGCCAAACAAGGGGCCGGGGGGCCTAGGGGGGGGGGGGCGAGGGGCCTAGGGGGCCGAGGGGCCAAACAAGGGGCCTGGGGGCCACGGGGCCAAACAAGGGGCCGGGCGCAGGTCAGGTACGGGGCCGGGCGCTGGGCAGGTATGGGGCCGGGCGCTGGGCGGGTACGGGGCCGGGCGCTGGGCAGGTACTGGGCCGGGCGCTGGGCAGGTACGGGCTCGGGCGCTGGGCAGGTACGGGGCCGGGCGCTGGGCGCGGAATGGGGCCGGGCGCGGGGCTAGGTACGGGGCCGGGCGCGGGCTAGGTACTGGGCCGGGCGCGGGCTAGGTACGGAGCCAGGCGCTGGCGACAGACAGGGCCGGGCGCGGGCTAGGTACGGATCTGGGCGCTGGCTGGGGTCGGGGCCGTGCGCTGGGCTAGGTACGGGCCGGGCGCGGGGCTAGGTACGAGCCGAGCGCGGACGAGAGACGGGGCTGTGCGCGAGCAAGGTACGGGCCGGTCGCGAGGCTAGGTACGGACCGGGCGCGGGGCTAGGAACGGGGCCGAGCGCGGGAAGGGTAAGGGCCGATCGCGGGGCGGGTACGGGCCGATCGCGGGGCTAGGTACGGGCCGGGCGCGGGCGACGAAATCGACGGGGCGACGGGGCCGAGGGGGGCCGAGCTAGGGGCGACGGGCCAAGGGGCCGAGCCTAGGGGCGACGGGCCAAGGGGCCGAGCCTAGGGGCGACGGGCCAAGGGGCCGAGCCTAGTGGCTATGGGCGACGCCACGGGGCCTAGGCTAGCAGTTACTTAGGTGGTGGGCCCATTAATTTTAGGATCCTAGGAAGGTAGTGCTCTTAATACCATGTGAGAATAATAGGCGAGAATGGTTTACTAGGAAGTGACGAGGGGTACAAGTAGAATGTCGAGAGAAAACTGTACCCCCTAAGGCTAAACCCACTATAGCCTAGACAACTGTAAACACATAAACTAAGCCTAGATATAACTAAGCATATATGTTTGACAGCGAGTTTCCGCCTGTAAAAAATGGGTCAGTCTGATAGCCGTGGGTAAATAGGCCTTTTAACAGTGGGCTGGTCTGGGCGAGTAGTATGGCGTGAATTTGGGCTGTGGGCCAGGTTAATGCGTCGGCGATGTTCGATGCCCCTTTTTTGTAGGTGACCGTGTAGTGAAAATTCGACTCAAGGTAGTCGAGCCAGCGGATTTGTCGTGGGTTGAGGTGGGGTTGCGCGCGGAGGTACTGTAGAGATTTGTGATCTGTCCGTACTGTCACGTCGGCGCCGGTCAAGTAACAGCGCCACACCTTGAACGCATGTACGATCGCAAGCATTTCGCGATCGTGTATCGGATAATTCTTCTCGGGCGGATGCAACTTTCGTGATTCGTATGCGATGGGCTGTAAGCCGTTGCCGAAGTCCTGTAGCAGTACGGCTCCAATGGCGATGTCGCTTGCGTCGGTAACCACTTCGAATGGGCGGTGTGGGTCGGCGATGCGCAGTACGGGCGATGAACAGAGAACATTTTTTAGGGTAGAGAAGGCAGCATGCTCTTTCTCCCCCCACATAAAAGTGACCCCCTTCCGCAGTAAATCCGTTAGTGGGGCAGTTAAGCAAGCCATGTCGGGGACGAACCGGCGCACGTAATTAATGAACCCTAAAAAACTTTGCAGCTCCGTGATGTTCGTGGGTGGGTGCCATGCTTTTACCGTGTCCAGCTTCTTTGGGTCGATTTCCACGCCAGCCTTGGAAATAACGTACCCTAAAAACTCTAGCCTATCCTGAAAAAACTCGCACTTGTAACCCTTGGTCAGTATTCTGTGTTTGTCTAAGACTGTAAATACTGCTTCTAAATCGGCTAAGTGCTGCTGCTTATCCCGACTATAGACTAGGATGTCGTCGAGGTAGATGATCACACATTTATCTAAGAGTGGTCTAAACGCCTTGTTCATGGTCATCTGGAAAGTCGCCGGTGCGTTGGTCAGTCCGAAAGGCATCACCGTGTACTCGAATGACCCGTACCTGGTCCTAAATGCTGTCTTGGCACAGTCCGGCGGTTCGACCCTAATCTGATGGTAACCTCCCCGTAAATCAATTTTCGAAAAGATTCGCGCTGTTCGCAGTCGATCTATCTGTTCGTCGGCTCGGGGGATGGGGTATCGCGATTTTACTGTAACCCTGTTCAGTGCTCTGTAGTCGATGCACATGCGAAATCCTCCGTCTTTTTTCGGTGTGAACAGGATCGGTGCGGCGAATGGGGACGAGCTCGGTCGGATGAATTTTTTCTCTAACAGGTAATCTAGCTGCTTCCTTAACTCGTCGAGCTCGGACTGTGTCAGTCTGAACTGTCGCTGTACGGTTGGCTGTGCCCCGGGTTCTAATTCTATTCGGTGATCGTGCGCCCGCTGAGGTGGCAGTCCCTCTGGTAAGTCATCGGGGAAGATCCCCGGGAATCGTTTCAACAGTTCCTGTAGCTCCGATGGGACTGCCCACAGTAGTTTCTGAAAATCACTCGTTTTGTCTGCGTCTTCCGCTATCGCGATATCCACCGTGTACACGTCAGCTCCAGCGGCGACAGCCCGTTTCATCGTGATGGCGTTGACGTGGACCGTTGAAGACTCAGGCGACTGCCAGCGAGGTAGTTCGACCCAGTTACCGCTACTTCGCACAGTACAGCTACCCGTCGTCCAGTCTATTCGCGGGTTATATACCGTCGCAGCCAATCACGCCCTAGTAAGATGTCGTGCCCATCCAATGTCGTCGCGAGCATTTCCTGTGTAAACCCGAAGTTTCCCCCACAGCGGACTTTTACTCTCTCCACTTTTTCCCATATGGCCAGCGGCGTTCCGTCAACTAAACGTGCATCGATCTCCGGTAAACACCGACTAAGTGCCAGTTGCAGCTTCCTTGCAGTCGCGGTGTTAACTAAACTGTGACTTGCGCCTCCGTCTATAAAAATCTTCACTGCTGCTCCCTGTATTTTCCCGTGAATCAGTACTGGGCAATCTGTCGATGTACCCTCCTTATTCGTCCGAGCCCGATCGATAGCATGAACCGGTACTGTAACTCGGTGAGGGTCGGTGAAGTTGGGCGAGAAGGCAGTCTCGTCAGTAGTTGGCCCAACTTCTACTGACTGCTGGCGTTTCCCGGCCCCTGAGACTCTCGCCCCTGCTCTGTTCCGCGGCGCCTCAGCTCCTCTGGGCATTCACTCTTGCGATGGCCCGACCTATTGCAAGAAAAGCAACGCCCCTTAAATGGTGCGGCAGCTGCATTTGTCGCAACGGCGTGTACGGTGGCGTGCTCGATTGGTCCCCGAGGACGTTGTCCGTAGTAGGACCCCGGTCTCGGTCGTCGTAGGATGTCGATTTTCTCGGCGAGCGCGAGAATCTCGTTGAAATTCGAGAGTCCGCGAAGCATAATTTCGTGCGAGATATCCGGCTTTAGCCCTCCGAAGTAACGGTCCACCCGCTCCGCCTCGTGCATATAGCCGACTTGCTCGCATAATGCGAGAAATCCACTCGTGTAGTCCTGAACCGATCCGAGCTGCCGCCAAGTGCGCAGTTTCTGACGTGCTGAAATCGAAGCCGCGATCGGCTCGAAACGCGCCCGAAGCCCTGCGCACCACGCATCCCATGTGCTGTACTGGGCTGTCTCGCAGAATGAACTCCAGGTGACGGCTGGGCCCATGGGCCCGTCTTCTTGCGACGGTGGCTCGTAGGCGCGTGGCGACGTCACGATGACCCGCCACCTGTCCATGGCAGGGCCCCTCGGCAGCGAAACAACGTAGCGAATCTTCGCTGCGTCTGACTCGACGTAGTTCGCGTCAAAGAATACGTTCATCGTGAAGACCCACGACTGAACCGTCGGACCCCCACGTTGACTTGGGTCGAAACAAGGCGGACGCTGCGGCTTGAGTGGCATTAGCGCCGTGATGGCGTACTCGCCACTTGTCGCTGCAAATTCCACGTGCCGACGGGCTTCGGGGGCTCCCGTGGGCTTGGTGTGACTCTGTTTCGCTCCATGCCACGCATTGAGTGAGCGGCGCCCTCACTGGCTACGCCTGAGCGCTGTCCCACGCTATCGTTCTGTGTCGGTGTGCCGGAGGAGATAACAATCGGCTCCTCCGAGTGTGCAGGTGCGTTTGTTGGAGCTGGAGCGTTCACTGTCGATTGTTGGCGAGCGGAGTCGCGTTCCGCCGTGAGTGTGGCGATTTCAAGCGCCGATTCTTCGAGTTGGCGCATGAGCCGGTCTAGTTGCTCCTGTGTCATTGTCGCGACGTTAAGTTCTGCCATGGCGGGGGTGTCGGGCAAGCTCAGCGAGAGCCTCTGTCGTGGCCGTGCGTGCTTACGAGAGAGCACTACGAGCGGCGGTGCTTGGTCGCTGAGAGACGTCTACCCCCCCCCCAGAAAAATTGAGATAGTGGGGAAACGAAGGTGTGGGTGCGGTCCGAGAGAAGATCGTAGGCTCTGATAACCAAGTGTTACGAGTGCAATTGAGTGAGTGAGCGAGGATTGCACTATCGAGACAAGAATACATCGAGCGAAGGATTGAGCGAAGAATATATAGCGAATGCTACGGTGGTAACGGTAACGTGGGAAATTGGGGTGCGCGACGGGCCTGGTGCCGAGGTTGGGGACTGTCGAGGCGGAGGTCCGGAGCGCGGGTTACCAACCGAACCGTGAGGTTGGGTCGCATCGTGAACAGTGGCGGGAATGGTGTCGAGGCGAATGTCGCGAGTGGTAACGGAATATTGAAAAGTGTGCCCGAATCCTGCCAATATACGTACCTTACTAGCAGCTTCACTACTAGCAGATACAGTAACAGAGGGGATTACAAGTACCGTAATCGTGCACTATCAACTCAACTGCAAGACAGCAGCAAGCAAACTCCAAAATGGTACGGTATTCCTAAAAATCAGCCGAGCCTGAACGTGAGCTCCCTTTCCAAAGCAGGCTCCTGAGATGCAGCCATCTCTTCCCCCTTCAACTCACACCCCCCTCCTTCCACTGCCGCTGATCCCTCCACTCTCGCTCTTCCGTCCTGACCTCGCCGCTCTCCACCCTTATCCACCCCTTCAGACCCCATTGTTCTCCCTTGCACTCCACTCTCTCTCCCTGGCCCGCTTCCCTCCCCTGCCCTCTCCCCTGCACGGCTCCCAGCCAGCCCACTCCTCCCCACACCCACCCCTCTCCGTGCCAGCACCGCTGCCCCTATCTGTGGATCAGAGCTCGTCCTCCTGTGCCTCCCCCTTCCGCCTCCCCCGCCTCCTCCCCCTCCCCCGCCCCTGACCCCTTCCCCTCCTCCACCTGTTCGCAGCTGCTGCACTGCACGGGCCCGCACAGGTAAGCCCTTCCCCCCACCCTCGCCCCCTGCTATTCCTTCCCCTTCCATTGATCTTCTGCGTGCTGTTGGCGTTACTCCCTGTCTCACTGCTGCACCTGGGTCTCCCTCCCTCCCAACCTCCCTCCCCACATCCCTCCCGCCGTCTCTCCACGCGTCTCGCCCCACTGCCCGCCCCTGTCCCTCCCCCACATCCCTCTCTCTGCTCATCCCATGGGGTTGTCTCCAAGGTGGGGGCCTCTGCTGCTGCTGCTGCTGCTGCTGCTGCTGCTGCTGTTGCCCCTCTGCTGCTCCCCTCAGATACCGACTTCGTCTGGTAACCGCTGCTGAGTCAGCAGTGGTCGGGCGGCCACTAGTGGACAAAGACTGCGACTTCACGAACCCAAGAAGACGGGGATCCGCCGACCCACCCACACGAGGCAGTGAATGCGCCCTAGGTGCATGCTCAGGACTCTCCTCCCACTCCTCCTCATCCTCCTCCTCCACCTCCTCCCCCTCTGCCTCTGCCCCTGCCGCACCCTTTGCTGGTCTGCTGACCACAGCAGTAGCACCCCCAACAGAAGCACTCTTGAAAAATAACCCATGCGGCGCAGCCTTAAGCTCAGTGACTCGCTGGTTCTGCCTTACTCGAGACCATTCCCACTCCCACTCTCTCTCCAGCCCATCATCATCCTCCTCTGCCCCCCTCTCCCCTGCCACACTTGTCACTTTCGCCCCGCTTTTCCCCTCGCTCACTGTCCCCTCGCCGTCCCTCTCCCTAGCTGCTACTCCCTGCCGGCCACCCCCTGCGTTTTTCTCGGGCAGCCCGTTCTCGTGCAAAGCCGTGAGTTTCTGCTGCCCGAGCTTTGCCTGCAGCAGCCGCTGCCGTTCCCGTGCCAGCTGTCGCAGCTCCTCCTCCTCCTCCGACTCGCTGTCACTGAGATCACTGCAAAACCCACCAGCATCACCAGCACTCGCAGCACTGGCAGCACCAGGAGCACTGCCAGCAACGCCAGCACTACCCCGCCCATCATTCCTACCCAAGTTCATGCTTTCGCTGTCCCTCCTCTCACTCTTCCTCCCGCTCCCTCTCTCTCTCCCCCTGCTCCCCCGCTCCTCCTCGTCACTTACGTCCTCACTGTCACTCGCCAGCACCCGCGCCCGCTCCTCCCGCGCGCGCCACCCCTCTGCGCGCGCTGCACTCCCTGCGCCCCCTCTCCCCGCCCCCCCCCGCCCCACTGCTGCCTTCACAGGCGCTCCTCCCCATGCCTGCGCGCCCGCTGCTCTCTCCCCCGTGCTCCGTATCCCCACTCTTCTATCAATTTCTGATTCACTCAAGTCCTCTCCCTCCTCATCCTCCTCCTCATCTTCCTCCCCACTCAGCACCCCAGCCACCTTAAACTGCATCACAAACGGCTGCCCCATGCCCCCCCCACTGCCCCCAACAGCCAGGCCCACAACGTCCCCCTCTCCCGATTCTCCGCCAACCCCCCCTCCCCCTCGCCTTTCCCCCGCTTTCACGGGATGCCTAACCGACTGCTCGAGCCCTCGCCCCTCCCCCCGGTCGCTGTCGCTGATCGTTCCTCCCCTTGCCCCGCCCCTTCCCGCCACTCGCCCTCCCCTGTCTCCCCTCTCCTCACCAGCCACCCCCCTGCTTTTCCCCCCCGCTGATGCACCTGCACCAGCGGACCTGCCCCGCGCGCCTACCATCCGCCCCTGACCCCCCTCCCCGGCACCGTCACCCTCGCTATTGTCACTCTCGTCGCTGTAATCCGAGTGCCTAGCCTGCCTACGTGGAGCCAGCACTGTTCCCGCCACCACCGCTTCCCCCGACGCGGAACTCAGGGGAAGCGGAGCAAGGTCGTGCGCGGGGGAGGAGAGCGACCGCCGGTGCGCGGCGCGCGCACCGCCTGGCGCAGTCGCGCCGTCGGGACCCCCGCGGCTGGAACCAGCAGCGCGGGGCGCGCCGAGGTCTTGCGGAAAGCGGTTGCGCGGAAGGGAAGGTTGCGCGGGGGAGTCCCGCGGAGTCAACCCCGCGTGAGAGAGCCGCCCGCGCTTCTCTTGCTCCTGCTCCCTTCCGCCCACGTCCTCCTCCTCCCCTTCCCAATCGAGACTGTCTATACTGGAACTATCATCCCCCACATCGTCCTCGGGGCGTCCCGCAATCCCCCCCTTTCCCCCCGCCCTTCCCGCGTCTGCGCCGGTTCCGCCCCTTACGTGCAGCAGCGAGGGGTTCGACGCGCTTCGGACGCAGCCCGCGGGCTCGTCGTCGTCTCCGAGATCGAACGACACGGACCGTCGATACGGCTGATCGAGCGAGCTTACAGATAGGCTGGACGATTTCACCATTATTCCGCGGGGCCGCGGGGGAAACCCCGTAGGGGGAGAAAGGGCTTTGTTCCCCGCCCCCTCATGGCCTCCGCCTCCCCCGCCGCTTCGCACGCGCGCGAGAGTCCCTCCACCTCCGATGCTGTTGACGCGGCGCGGACCTGACGCGCTGAGTTCCGAGCCTGAGTGGGAGGATCGATCGCCCTTAAGGCTGCCGGTGCTGCGGACCGAGTCCTGCCGCGACACGGTATCCCAAGCCTTTTCCGCGCCTCGCAGTCGTGCGGAACGCGGGGAGCCCACGGCTCGCGGAGAGCCGACGGACCGGGGGGAGCCCACGGCGCGCGGAGAGCCCACTGCGCGCGGAGAGCCGACGGCACGCGGGGAGCCCAATGCGCGCGGAGAGCCCATACCGCCCGCGTCCGAGTGGCGGATGGAGAGGGGGGAAAGGGATAGCGGAGACGCGGAGAGAGGGGAGGCGGAAATCGGAGAGGCGCGCGATGGCCTGGGCGGGGCTTGCTTTGGCGGTCTCCACCGGTCCGCGCGATGTTCGCTGTCCGCGCGATGGTCCCTGTGCGCGCGGTGATCTTGGTCCGCGCGGTGATCGTCGTGCGCGCTCTCGGTCTCCTCTTGAAATTCCTCCATGTCGTCGTCGGCAATCTCTAGGCGCGAGCTGCCGAGCGATGCGGAGCGGCGGTGCCACCCCTCGTGGAGGCCCTCCTTGCGCAGCGACTGCACCGCGGGCGGCGCGCGCGGAGACTCCCCCGATCTGGTGTGCGCCACAGGGCGGCCGGCATTCGCGGCGGTGGCGCCCCGCGCGCCGGGCCGTGCGAGCGGCGAGGGTGAGAGCGACGAGCGCGGCGAGCCTTGATTGGATAGGCCGCTGGGGGAATCCAAACGATCCATCTGACGATTGGAAAGAGAGCCGTGGTGCGATAGCCGTCGATTTGAAGAGGGATTGGACAGCTGGGATTGACGCCTGGGAGAGGATACGGCATGAGAGGGCCCGTGCTCGGTGCCCCTCTCGCCGTCCATGGTCCGACAGCAGGCAAATTAAAGCTTAGGCTGAACGATGCTTAGACAAAATGAAGACCAAGGAGATTAGAGTGCTCAGGCTCAAACTCGTACTCTTCCTCACTTGTAATGAAGATTATCCTGCATTCACCCTGCCGTGAGGCCACACGACCTGCTGCTGATCTAACAGCCAGTAACAGCAGCCATTGACCTACCTGGAAACATTCTTTGACCTTCCTGTACTAAACTTGTACATTCTTTGACGCAGTGGGCAGGAGGTGGAACACGGGTCATGAAGGTGTCGAGTTATTTTCCGTCGGTTCAGTTCGGTACCGTGAAGACCGTGGCCATGTTCATTGAGCTGTAACCTTGTAACGCCTCTTCTCCCCAAATCGCATACCGTACTTGTGTCCGCGCAGCCGTATTGCGCGCATTTCTCCTGCGCCTCCCGCTCGCCTCCCTTCAAGTCAGTGCTTGCGCCTCCTCCCATTCCCCCTGGGCTGGACCGCCTTCCGTCGCGCTCCAAATCCCAAGGTTTGCAAGCGATGGGTTTCCTTCGCACCCTCCAAACCAGGTTGAACGCTGGCACTGTATCGCCGAACCAAACCTCGCGACCAGAGGTGTTGTCGCTTCTCCCCACTTCGGCCTTGAAGCTTTCCGCCGAACCTCAATACCTCGCCAAGCTTCAATACTCCCCCGAACCGCAACCTGGTGCTAGCCTCAGAGGCAACAGCCAATGTGTCCACGCCGCGTGGTTCGCTTACCACACCCATAATAGGTTTGCAGCCGCAATCAGCTCTTTTATGACGTGGCAACACATCATCACCTGGAAAGCTTCCAGGCAGCTTTGGAAAGTCCACACATTCTTACATTCACCCCGAGCTTACGTGAAAGTCACCCATTTGCTGAAATTGTCAACGCCGAACCTCCGCCGCTGCCCATACCGTACTAATCTGTTCCGCACCTCCATCTATCGAGCATATCCCTAGAGCATTGTTCCGAGTCCACCTCCAGTTTGGCAGGCTTACCACTGCAAGTTGGAGGACTCGGACTTTGCCAAACTGAAGTTGCTAAGTAAGCCTGCCAGAGCAGCTTTTTGTTGCGAGAGAGCAACGAGAATCCAGTGCTGATCTATATAGGCAGCATTTCGATTAGTCTCGTCCTGTTCCGCCGCAACGATTTTCGTAATGGCAAAGTCTCTGCTTTCCGTCACTCTCGCGATCCTGCTCGCATCCATGGCGGCTCTGGCCACGGCGTCAGGTCGCACGCTTCTATCCAAGTCCCACACTCCTTGCCGTGACCCGAACGCCAGAGGATTCACTGGCGGAGAGCTCGTCACGGAGCCGCGATCGCACGAGACTCTGAAGAAGTCGGATCTTCCACGAAACTTCTTCTGGGGCAATGTTAGCGGCGTGAACTATCTGACAGAGAGCAGGAACCAGCACATCCCGCAATATTGGTACGACAACGTGAATGTGAAAGTGCAACGTCTCGCAAGGTTTTCAGTTTCCGACAATCCGGGTAACCCTGTTGACACTCGCTTATCATATTACCAGACATAGATTCGTTTCTAAACACAAGATTCTCTTGTCTAAACACAAGTCAATGTCTGACCATGTTCATCTGAATATGAACAGCGGCTCGTGCTGGGCCTTCGCGACCACGTCAGCAGTGTCGGATCGCATCAAGATCAAGCGCAACGCTGCATGGCCGGACATCGTCCTCTCCCCCCAGGTATCGTCCTCTACCCCCAGGTATCGTCCTCTCCCCCCAGGTATCGTCCTCTCCCCCCAGGTATCGTCCTCTCCCCCCAGGTATCGTCCTCTCCCCCCAGGTATCGTCCTCTCCCCAGGTATCGTCCTCTCCCCCCAGGTATCGTCCTCTCCCCCCAGGTATCCCCTCGCGTGTCTCGTCCAGGGCCTCATCTAAAGCCACTCATCTAACGCGCCTCACTCTTGGCTGTCGCTTTATCACCTGCCGTGTGAACAATCTTAGTCGGCTTGTGGTTTGTCGAGGCGATTAGACCTCTTAATCCAATACAGAACGATTTCGTTCCATTGATCCGATCCGATCTGATCCGTTCCGATCCGATCTGCTCCACGCAGGTGCTGCTGAACTGCAAGGGCGGCGGGTCGTGCAACGGCGGCGACCCGTTCAGGGCGCTGCAGTACATGGCGCACCGCGGCCTGCCACACGAGAGCTGCCAGAACTACGAGGCGGAGGACCAGGAGTGCCGCCCGCTGGGGTGAGTGTGGAACTTCTAGGAAAGAGAGTGTTGTCTTACATTGTAGCTGTCAGAACTAGGGTGGATGTTCCAGGGTGAAAGTCTGACCGTTTCAGCACGTGTTTTAGAACCTGAGTGGACCCGGAGCCCTTTATGTGCCACACATGCTTCCCTGTCAGTGACTGTTGTTGCTCCTTACCGCCATGCATCCATGATGCTGTTGCTCGCAGGGTGTGCAACGACTTCGTGCCTGGAGTGGACCACTAAGAATTCAACCCTTGGAGCGCCAGGCACATGCTTTCCTGTCACTGCCTGTTAATGCTCCTGATGGTTAAACATTCGCTCTGCTGCTGTGCTCGCAGGGTGTGCGAGGACTGCGTGCCAGGAGTGGACCCTGAGCCCTTCACGCCCGGCACGTGCTTCCCGGTTGCCAACTTCACTCTCTGGCGTGTCAAGCAGTATGGCTCCGTGCTCTCAGGTTCGTTACAAGCACGTCTCCACTTTGCAGGTTGTTTTTAACGATCTTTCAAAAACTCCCTGGCATGTGCCTCACTGTTTCCATGCCAACTTCACCCTCTGGCGTGTTAGCAGTACGGCTCGCTGCTCTCAGGTCCAGCTACACTGCATACTCCTTGCTAGCGCATGTTGCCTCTGCTTTGCACTTCCCCGCGAATGGCGTGGGTCGGGCTATTTCCTGGTTGATGATCGTGGGCCCTGGTGGGACCTTGTGTGTTGTCTTTTTCCACTCCTGTTTTTTACTTTCTTTCTTTCTTTCTTTCTTTTAAATGTCTTAAAAATGCGTGTTTCGTTTTTCAATCCTGTTTGCTGCCTGCAGGCTCGGACGAGGATGCTGTTGGTAACCGTATGTCCAGAGCTGACAAGCTCAAAGGTGAGAGCAGCACCTGTGTGACTCTTTCAGGTGCTTTCTCTGTCCAGTCGAGAGTCAAAGGTGTGAGGTGCAGCTATTAAGATTTAAGGAACAGCTATAACAGCTTTTACAGCTATCACAGCTATCGCACCTATCCCTGTCTTCATTCTAGTCTGGCTTTAACTCATTCTCCACTGAATCCAACCTTGTTTTGAAAGTTTGCAACTGCGACCCGTCTCGTGCCACTTCTGTTCCCGTGTGTGCTTCCGTACTTGTTTGCTAACTGACCTGTTTCATATCGTGCTTGGCCCCTTTGTCCTAAATGTATTGACCCTCATTTGCGCCACTTTTCTGGTGCCTTCCCCTTCCTGCTTGCCAGCCTGCTCCCCCCTGCCCGTCTGCTTCCCCCTGCCCGCCTGCTTTTCCCTGCCTGCCTGCTCCCCCCTGCCCGCCTGCTTTTCCCTGCCTGCCTGCTTCCCCCTGCCCGTCTGCATCCCCCTGCCTGCCTTACCCGGACCGGACTGCAGCGGAGATCTTCAAGCGCGGTCCCATCTCGTGTGGTATGGACGTCACAGACCTTTGAGTCGGCTCAAAAGTCGTTGCTTGCCCCTGCGTGCCTCCCTCTGCTTACCTACCCTGGACTCCCTCCTCTCTCCCCACCCCGCGTGCAGCGGAGATCTTCAAGCGCGGCCCCATCTCGTGTGGTATGGACGTCACAGACCAGTTCGAGGCGTACACGGGCGGAATTTTCCACCATTTTGTGCCGCTGCCGCTACCCAATCACGAGGTGTCGCTCGTGGGGTGGGGCGTGGACGAGGCCTCGGGGCAGGAGTACTGGATTGGCCGCAACTCCTGGGGCATGGCATGGTGCGTATGACGATTCGCTTTAAGACAGATCTCTGTGGTTTTTTTGTGTGTGTGTGTGTGTGTGTGTTTTTTTGCCCGTTTGGATGTGCCGTGCCTTCATTCCAACCGCTCTGGCAGCTGAGGGACCGCTCTCTCGTCTATCCCTGCGCTGCCCATCCCCACCGCCAGGGGCGAGCAGGGGCTGTTGCACATCCGCATGCATCACTGCAACCTCGAAATCGAGCTCACCTGCTCCTGTTGAGTCGACTCAAACATCACCTCGCATCCTTGCATATCCTCTCATCACCCTGTCCCCACCCACAGGGGCGAGCAGGGACTGTTCCGCATTCGCATGCACCACCGCAACCTCGGCATTGAGCTCACCTGCTCTTGGGCCGACCCTGACGCCAACCCTCTCCCATCTGGCGCCATCCCCCAGCCCCTCGACCCCCTGCCCCG